CTTAGACATGAGGAGCGTTGTTGGCTTTAAGAAGAGGACCGGCCGTTCATACCATTGCCCTGCTGAGGAAGTTCTGCCCCGACCGGCCAGTTGGGTGCTTGTTAAGCACCGTGGGCGGCTGCTGGCCAAGCCCGGCGCGCGCTCCAGCTCGGGGCCTGCACCTGCCAGGCGGAGCGCGGTATGCGCGGGATGTGCGGGTCTCGCCGCCCAGGGGCGCGGGTCCACTTCAGCCTCTGGGGAAAGACTCCGTGGGCCCAGGGGTGGAGGACAACGTGGGCGCCCTGGGCCACAGGGGTGCGGCTGGCCGGGGTGGGGTGGGGGGCTGCAGGGGCAGGGGGCAGACTGGGCGGCTGGTGGGGCGCTGGCCGGGGTGGGTGGGGCACGCAGGTGTGCACGGTTAATTTAATTTAGCCCATAAACCACCTCAGGTTCTTGTGCAGGGAAGCCGTCGAAAGGAATCCACAGACACACTAGATACGCAGAGAGAAATTATTTATACCTGTGACACCGTCTTGCACATGGTAGGGTCCGACCTTCAGCCTTGTAACCTGGACTGTGATTGATTATTTTATTAAAATTTTAAGTCCCACATTGTTGTGGTTGCTATGCTTTCTTCCTTCCCTATTCAAGCTTACTTGAACTACTCAAAAACCCTGTGAATTGCCACTACTAACTTGTTTAGTTCTTAGGAGTCAGCAGTAACTGTAAAACCTGGTAGCAGGTGCTTGCGGGGTTTGGCTTCGCCCACAAGCGGTGCAAGCCTGCCCCCTAGTGGTGGGAAAGGGAACACTCGAAGATTTAAACGTAGACGCAAGTGCTCAGTGAACACGGAGGTTATTAATTATTTAAAAATAGTAAAGCATAAATGTTACACAGAAGTATTCTTTGAGTAGCTAAAATATGAAAGAGAAAATTTCGTTTGATGGGTGCAGTATACTAGAGGGAGAACTACTGAATTGTGAGTTACCAAAGACTTTATGAGCTATGTGGGTAGTCACTGACGCTCTTTTAAATTAAAAGCTCAAATTGAGCTTTGAGTATCTAGCTGTAATCTCAAATACGGATGTATTTTCTCAGTTTTGAAAATATCATTATTGTTTAGGAAAACTTGTCATTTTTAGCCAAGTCTCAATTTTACAGAATCGCTAAACACTTCAGAGAAACACTCCCGCCTTTGTCTGGGAGCCCGAGATTTCTTCCCCGCACACACGGCTGGCTTGGGTGCTCCAGGGGGGTCTGAATATGCCTCTTCAGGATTTAGTGTCAGAAAACACAAGCTACGATCTAGTTAACCTGTGAGTGTAGGAAAATCACAGCTCTTACACTGCGGTTTCCCAGTGAGTAATACAAACACATATGCAAGTCTGTTCTAAGTTCTGGTTTTTTTTTGTTTGTTTGTGTTTTAGAATCGAACTTTAATGCTGTTTTACACAGAGCAAAATAGAGAGTAACTTAGGCAGGAAGTCTTCATTTCAGGAAGACTCTTAGAGAGGTGTATTTACTGTGTGCCAGGCTATAAAAAAGTGGAGACATGCTGCAGGTTTTCTTTTTTTTTTCCTTTAGATTTATTTATTTATAAATCTGGGGTGCAGGCTAGAGGTGCAGTGGATGAGAGGCTTCACCAGAGACAGAGTGGGGAGCAGAACAGACCGACTGGCAAAGTACACTGCTAAGGGGAGCAGCGGGCGGTCAGGAGAGGGCTGCCGCACCCTGGGGTCACCCCCGGGGCTGGGATCGAACTGCACTAGGTGGCTGCAGCCAGCTTGCAGAGCTGCGTCCTGACCCGTTGCGCCACCAGGGAGGGCCCTGCTGCAGGTTTTTCTTTCCACACATAAGGTAGGAGCCCTTTGTCGACAGGCACAAATATTCGACACAAACACACTGACCATTCTCCCTCCCTGCACACGCGGGGGTCAGCTTGGCTGCGGGGCTGGGGGGTTCTGAGAACAGCTGAAGGCGGATTGCAGCCTTCAGTCGGTGCTTCTGAAGGTGGAAGTCTGCGAAGCGCTCTGAATTCTGAGTATTTCGTCACTGCCACTTTATCATAGGCAAATCTTCACTCTGCTTGACATTCTTTCAGATAACTTTAGGATAGATATAAGCAGGCCGCTTTTCAAGAAGTAATAGTCCTTGACAATGTACATTGAATTTTTAAGTGGATCAGATCTGCTGCAAATTAGTGGAGTAGGAGGTCCCTCAGCAGTAGTAAAAGAGCCAGAGAAATAACGCTGAGATTTGGGTTCCGAGCCTTGCACAGTATGGAACGTGTGTGGAGACCGTGGCTTGGAGTGCTGATTCTCCACCAGCAAACACACCCCCTCTCTGGGAGAGGCTAGAAGTCAGCCGGGCCAGAGTGGCCTTTGGCTGAGACATTTTCGTCAATTAAAAATATCAGTTGGATAGTTCTCCAAGGCTTGGATTGCTGAGCCACATAGGGATTAAAAATTAAAAGAACTTGTAGGAAAAGGTGGTGAGTATGTACTGAGGATTAAACTCTTTTAAATGTTGTAAGCTTAAGTAGGATTTAAGGAAAAGAATCCTCTGGTATTAGAGTAACATTTCAAAGCCACATACACAGTACTGTCATGATGTGGTTCCAGTGGCAGAGAATGGATGTCCCAGATCAGGGGGCAAATGGTGGGTGGTGACTGAGCTAGAGAGAGCAGGGGTGTATCTGTGGGGCCTCCTGGTTGGGGGGGGTGTCGGGGGGGGGCAGCTTCCTGAAAGAGCAGTAAGAATGTCACTTGATTTGGGAGGCTGGAAGTCTCTGCAGGAAAGAGAAATGTGGATCTTTAGCTGAATGCTTGAATATGTGCATTTCTGTGAAACACAAAATCAAGGAAATCCAGAACAGCAGTCTCAATTTGGTGTCCGTGAAACTAATCGTGCCTGCCTTTGCAGTGTTTGAGTCGCTCCACGTTTGTTTCTTAGCGATGACCAGATTTGTCTGCCAGTCAAACCGCCAGGATATGATGATAATGGCACCTGCCGTGCTGATCGAGTGCAGACATTTGCATGACTACTCAGCAGCCGAAACAAAAATAAATCACAATCTAGTATTTGGAATTGAAATCTCTGCTTTTACCACGTCACTACTGTGTGATGCTCCGTTACTTAATTTTTGACTAACCCGTCCTGTATAACATTAATTATAATAATTTCCAACTTTCAGGAAAGTAGGTAAATAGTTATGACTCTTTACAGATCATCTTTACTTGATGGGTAAGTGTTTTTTTGTTTGTTTGTTTTTGTTTTGTTTTGTTTTGTTTTTTTTCAAAATCACCACAATTTACGGCAACTGAAGTCATTGGAAGTTGTTTTTTCTCCCCTGGCCTTTGCTAGTGAGCTATGTGGGCTTTTCTCATCCATGTACTCAATACTCCCACCGTGGTCTGCGTCCACATTTTTGACACTATTATCTGCCTCACAGATCATATCAGTTTTGCACAACTATCATGGCCGACCACAGGTGCTCCCCAAAAAGCAGACGTCTGCAATAATAGCGCCTTCATTGCGGTTTACAGTGCAACTGGGTCACGCTCGCTTGAGGCTGTCAGCCCAGTGAAGTGCTGCACGGGCCCATGTCCATTGTCATGACTAACACGCATTTTCTTCCTCCCGGCCTATGTCTAAACTTCTATTACAAGTTTGTTGGTTTGTTTTACTTCTAGGCAGGGGCCCAATATCAAACTGAGCAGAAGGAAGAAGAAACTGTTCTCTTGGGAATGGGGGGTGGGGTGGGAGGAACTTGAAGCCACAGGAGTCGCTTGGCTCCAGCTAATTTTTCTCTGCCATACTACCTACGGGTGTGCGAGACTTGACTGTTATGGTTTTTTGTAGAACTTCTGTAGCAGTGCTAAATTTTTGGTATCAAAAGGCTTTCTACCAGATATGTGCTTGCCAACTCAGATTAATATATTAAGTACATTAAACATTGTCGCTTTCTAAAATAGAAGGGGAAGAATTCATCACAGAGGCATTATGCAATGTGTAGATAATATCGACCATTAAATCTCTACGGATGGATTAACCTTGTAAATTGTGTGATTTGCATATAATCGTGTTCTTTTAGAATGTCCTTAGAAGGGTCACAGATCTATTACTAAGAAAAGAAAAGTGCACTTTACGAGAGACGTAGGAGATTAATAAGGTAAAAACAAAAATTAGCTTGAAAGCACTGTCTATAAACTGTCATCCCTAATGATTATCATAAATATTCTCTTACTCTGAAAATGAAAGGTGTTTTCCTAATATTGAAGTCATACTTATCATTTTACTTTGTTTTTTTAACTGGCCGCTATTTCTCATATTTACATAACCAAATTTCACGGCTTCCTTTTTTTACCTCCTAGTGCTGGAAACATACATTGTAAGAGATCATGGCCCGCTAGACCTGAACTGATTCCGGAGTGTAAATAATATGCAAAGTGGGCTAATTCCATCACCGAGCATGTGCTAACGGGGATGAGCACAGCACATTTCTTTTTTATGTTGCTCAGACTCAGTTTCCCCCAGAAAATGTAGGTGTTTAGCTTCTCCCACATGCTTAGATGCTGTTTCGGAGCTTGATTATCATATCATTCAGTTTATATAAACCTCATTCCTGTTTTGTAAGCATGTCCTTTTCGAAATGAAGTCTTTTGCACAATAAAACTCAGTTTCTACTTACAAAATTTCTGCATAAAGCATTGTAAGTCACTTAAGTTTTGCTAAATGAATGTAGCAAAGTAAAAGAAGAAGCCATATTGACGATGCACTTCATTGTTGTGAGGAAACCCCGTGTCAGCCAGGAAACCCCTGTCAGCCTGCTCTGTTCATCGCTGGGAACTCGCCCCAGGGCAGCAGTCCGGAAGGCTGTGGGATGCGGGATCAAACTTGTGCTGCCGTGGCTTCCCAGAGCTTCAGCACAGGACATGACCACCCTTCTAGGCTCTTGTAATGTCACTTGCTGCCTGGCATCAGTAGTAACTTTTTCTTTGTCTGTTTCTTCTTGGCTCCAGCTCCCTGTGAAGGGAACACGTTTTTCTGCCATAGCAACATGTGTATTAACAACACATTGGTTTGTAATGGACTTCAGAACTGTGTGTACCCTTGGGATGAAAATCACTGTAAAGGTAAAGATTAGTCCTTAAAATTTGCAAAATCCCTGTTCCTGAGGGTGGGGTGGAAATTTATGCCAGTGTTTATTACATATATTTTTAAAAATATTTATTTGTGTATACAGAACTGGGGGACAGGCCAGAGGTGCAGGGGCGGTGAGAGCATTCACCAGAGACACAGTGGGAGCAGAACAGCGCAGCTGATAAAGTCCGCTGCTGAGGGGAGCAGCGGGCGGGTCAGGAGGGGTCTGCCGCGCCATGTGGGTCAGCTCCCTTGCGGGGGATCAAACTTGTGCTGCGGTGGCTTCCCAGAGCTTCACAATGCGGCACTTTAACCCGTTGCGCTGCTAGGGAGAGCCCATTTCCGTTTCAAAGAGAGAGGAGTTAGAGGCATTCATGCACATGTGGGCGTGATTCAGAAGCGGTTTGCAAGCTGTGCCTGCGCCTGGGCTCAACCGGAAGTGTCGTCACCCATTACTGCAGTGGCTCACCCCAACACTTGAATTCTCATGAAGGCCCCCAGGACCTGCAGGCTCATGGGGAGAAGGGGCGCTTGGGCTGCTTGCTCCTGCCCCGCCCGGCTCCCCCCACGCCCCTCGACCCTGCCAACACCGGTTTCTGCTCCTTTTTGCTGCAGCCCCTTCCTGTGGCTGAGAGTAGCATCTCACTTGGTTTCATTTGCATTTCCCTGACGATGAGCAAATCGCAGTAGGTCTGTGAGAGTGGAAATCTTATCAAGTGTCGTGTCTGATCACAGCAGGATCAAACCCACATCCAGTCATTATTTTTCAAAGATTTATTTATTTGTGCATACAGAACTGGGGTATAGGCCAGAGGCGCAGGGGCAGTGAGAGGCTTCACCAGAGACTGAGTGGGGAGCAGGACAGACAAATCAACCAAGTATGCAGCTGAGGGGAGCAGCGGGGAGACAGGAGGGGTCTGCTGCGCCCTGTGGGTCACCTCCGGGCCGGGGATCGAACTCGCAGGGAAGGGAGTGCGGCCAGCTTGCCGTGCTGCGTCCTAACCTGTTGTGCCCCCCGGAGCGGGGGGGGGGGCACATTCAGCTTTTTGACCAGTGCGCTCCCAAGTGTCCTGCAAGGCGTCTTATAACCCTGCCCTGGCCCATCCCCAAACCTACATGGACCTTCACTGTAAGGCTGCAGGCCACCAGAAGGCCACTGCCAAGTCTGGGAGACCCAGCCCTTGTGAACACGAATCTCTGAGTTTCGTTTTAAAATACCCGTCTAGAGTCCTTGAAGCCTGTGCAAAGGCTCCTGCCCCCTCCTTCACGCTGAAGCTCCCCGCCCGTGTTCCGATGGACGCTAACTCGGGTGGGTGTCTCTTCTGTTTGTTCTCTGCGCTCCTCCCCTGTAGAGAAGCGGAAAACCAGCCTGCTGGACCAGCTGACCAACACCAGTGGGACTGTCATCGGCGTGACCTCCTGCATTGTCATCATCCTTATTATCATTTCTGTCATCGTGCAGATAAAACAGCCTCGTAAAAAGTACGTCCAACGGAAATCGGACTTTGACCAGACAGTTTTCCAGGAGGTGTTCGAGCCTCCGCACTACGAGCTGTGCACGCTCAGAGGCCCGGCAGCCGCGGCCGACTTCGCGGACCTGCCCGAGGACCTGGAGAGCTACCACAAACTGCGCAGGTCTTCCTCCAAATGCGTTCACGACCATCACTGTGGATCCCAGCTGTCCAGCACGAAAGGCAGCCGCAGCAACCTCAGCACAAGAGATGCTTCTGTCTTGACCGAGATGCCCCCGCCGCCCGTCAAGCCCCTCATCCCGCCCATGAACCGGAGGAACATTCTGGTCATGAAACACAACTACTCGCAGGACGCGGCCGACACCTGTGACATCGACGAGATCGAGGAGGTGCCCACCACCAGCCACAGGCTGTCCCGACACGACAAAGCTGTCCAGCGGTCAGTATCTCTAGGGGTTTTGATGACAACTATAACCTGAGGACCGAAATGCTTCCAGAATGTTCCATTGTGTCTTCACATTTCCGTTTCTTAATGATGCAAACCAGGGTGGCCATGGCGTCCCCTGGGGCCTAGCTGGCCTCTTGCTAATCCTGGTCCTCCTGCAGAGGTATGCGAGCTCAGGCTGACCAAAGACACACCCCACACACTTCCACACACACACAGCCTGCTGTTAGTGTATAGGGCACTTTTCTTGCAGCACTTTTCTTGCACATGCTCACGAATGTGCCTCCTCGTGAGATTTAGAGACTTAAGACACGAAATGACACCGGGAACAACGACCCTACCCGGTGGTTAACCCTGCTGAGTAATTTCAATATAATAGTAACATAGTTTGCAACATAGCATATTTTTGGTATGAAGATGAAAATATTTTTTCCACATTTCACATCATCTGTATGTGACCAGGTCTATGCTAGTGTGCTATGCTCAAATACCAAACACTTATATTTAAATGAAGCAAAGACTTAGAGACATTTGGTTCCTCTCCCTTTCCATGCGAGACTATTCTCTGTAGGGTGTTACTCTTTGCCGCAAATCAGTAAAAGATTGGAGGAAGGAAATTTTAAATTGAGACGTAAATTTGTTCTAAATTTCAAACCCAGTCCCCTCATAATGTGTTTTGCATGCTAACTAGCTCTTATTTGTTTTATAAACATAGTTCCTTTCCCAATTCCTTTACCTCTTCCAAACCTTAAATATCCTTTTGATATTGTTCTTCCTGCGAGTGGAAGCCATCCACTTCCGCAGCCTGGTGAATTTCTAGGAATGTTTTCAGTAAATGCATGTGTGCATATTTATTTTCTGTGCAAATATGACTGTTGAATGAAATAGCCATAACATTCCAGGTTCTGCCTCATTGGGTCTCTAAGCAAACACGAATCTGAATACAACACAACTAGAGTCTAGAGAAAGTTCCAGGTAAGCCGGCGCCCTTCCTCCCTCCCTCCACCTTGTTTTCTGTTCTGTTTGTTCTGTTGCAGTTGTCTTGTAGTTTTTAGGGCACATGGTGTTTACTCATCATCTCTTGAGGTAGATCCATGACTTCCCATCACTAGAAATACAATGGCTACATGCTGTGGAAGGACGATTCTTACTATCCACAGCTTTGGAATAAACGTTAATATTCTTTCCATCTAGCATTGCGCTATGTGTTGTTAAAGAGGACGCCAAGGGAATCCATTAAGTTGTAAGTTTTAAGGTAAAAATACAGAAACTAGTGAACTCTTCAAAGAACTACCAGGAGAAATCCAAGATTTTCAGAGTAAACACATTTGAGTATTTTCTCAATTTAGCTGGCATCAGTATATAAAGTGGTAATAATTTTATTGACTGAACTCAGAACTCAAAAGCCAAGTACTGTTTGTAGTTACTCGGTTCAGGTACTCTTTATTTTTGCATGAATTATAGCTTCTTTCTCAAAATTAAATGCAGCATGTTTTGTCAAATTTTATGAGAGAAAATTTGAATGCTTGAGAATGGAAAACGTCTGTCAGTGCTGGTCACGTGTGTGTGCTTCTGTCTGTCATCGGATGCCACAATGGCTTCCTTTTAGCACTTGCTAAACTCTATTAGGCTCATTTGTCTCCAATTAAATTTGCTTGACAGCTAATCTCTGTAGCACTCTGCTACTTTTTGATGAGGTGAATGCTTTTCCGTGCTCTATATAACCTTGACTAACTGGTGTATTTGTATGCATTTTTCATTGCGAGAAAATGTTTTAACTGTGTTTTATTTTCAGAGAGGAACTATTTGTTCAAACATGGGGACAGTGAAAAGAACATTCTATAGTGAATTGTGAAAAGTGGACGCATTTCTAAATTCATTCCACTGCCTTTATCCAAACTTAAGAATCACAGACATTGTCATTCCTTCGGCAAGACACTCCCGCTGCACAGCGATATGCTCATTTCGTAATTTGGTTTGCTGGCCACCAAGTGCTCCTTAGTTTTTAACGACATTTTGAGATTTACTGGAAACTTGAAGAAGAAATTAGTTCCTGATTAAGACTATCCGACTCTCTCTCTACTGTCGGTTCCACATGACTTCTATGTTGTTTCGTGTCTTTGTTCCATAATTGTACCTGGTGTGACATGTGAACGAACTGGACTTTGGGTGAGCTGTGCATTACATGTGCGTTGTTTGCATTATATAGATGATATATTGGGCACAGTGGTGGTTCCTGAGAGATCTTGAACGTGCCACGTGAAAAGCGAATCTATGGACCTTGGAAACACCAGCTCGAGGTTTTATGGACGATAAACATCTGTCATTGTATCGTGATTAAATACAGCCAGAAGTAATGAGGAAAGGGACTAGATTGCAATAAGAAAAAAAAAAATCTCATTTGGGGTCTCTCCTGTATCCCCCCATTTCCTTTATGTTTTGCATCAAAGGAGGATACCGCATTTCAGAGATAGTTTTTGAAATCAGGTATTTCACCCTACAAACCCTTCAGTAGAAATGTTTTGTTTCGTTAATTTTGGTTCAGCACTTACAATGACTGAATTGACAGTTTGAGAAATACCCTGCATGTCAGTAATGGATATTTGAGTTGGACAACAACCGCCCTTTTTATTAGACACATTGTAAAAAGCATGCATTCCCCAATACTGCTGTTACCTCCCATTTCTTGTGTCATTTGCTTGCTACTTGTAACTTTTTATATAAAGATATATAAAAGTGTATAATAATTTCCTAACTTGAGTAAAGAGAAATGTTTTCTTCTATTAGAGAGAGAGAGAAAACAAAACAAAACAAAACAAAAAAAAAAACTGGCTTTCCTGCATACATACTTTGTATCAACTCTTCCCATCTGAGGAGAGAAGCTGTCCCTTCCTGGTGAAGCTCATTTCTCCAAAAAACTGATTTCTAAAAATTTTATGAAATAGATTCTCCTTTTAAGATGGCAAGTCTTTTTTACATGCTTGAAAACCAGTCTCTTTCATGAGCCCACTCCACAGTTCTGAGCTGTATTTCGACTCATGCACACATAGGGTAACTGAAGGCTCAGTGTAAGCAATCATCACGGTTTAATTAATGAAAGTTAAATCACATCATAGACTTGCTATTGAGTTGTACACAGACTCGATAAAGTTTGATTTAGTGAGAGCGGACTTTTAAAACAGTGAGTGTCTGTTCTTAGAAAATAAATGTTTAAACCAGAAGTACTTACATCTGCTTCCCTGTTTCCAAAACTCTGCTGAGTTCTACGGCATCATGTCCTTTCTGCCAGCAAAGCAGTCTAACAGACTACAGGGCCAATCTTGACTTGCCCTGGCCTGCCGGACCTCACTGCCTGGCATAGGCCCTCACATACCTACTGCATAAGAATTCAACTTCACACCTGCTGTAAAAACAAAAGGAAGAGCAAAGAAAATGTGATGATAGCAATTCTGAGTAATTTATATTGCAACATTGTGACGCCCCTGAAGTAAATGCTTCCATAATTTTGATAAACTGAAGAACAAAATGGTGAACATCATAAAATTAATTTTATTGTTTTACTACATATTTTATATATGTTGCTTATGTTAAAGCGAGACTTTTTATTTGACTGTTTTATTTATTTACCACTACCTTTATGCCCTTTAATTCAATGGTAATGCATTTTAACTCAATGTTAATGTCCAAGATTATGTTTTGAAATCATTATCCATACTTTTTACTATTTCCTCTATACAGAAATCTTTTCACTTTGAATGAATGCTCATAAAAAAATCTGATATACATGTCTTAGAAGAACCAAAGAAACAGAGAAAGTCCGTTAGGGATGTGTGTGCCACACACCGTCCTCGACTCGAGCGATGACAGAGCTTCCGACCCTGGCTCTTCTGAAATGTGCAGGATCCTTCTGACCCGCTGCTTAATTAATAATTGCACCAGAAATCCTTTCATGGAGACCTTTGAAACATCCAACTAACTATAGTGACAAAAGTAGATAGTTTTCGTGTATCTGCAATGCCGTAGCTCAACGGGAAAACAAAACTATTTCAAACGAAGACTGGGTGGTGTCAGTGGTTGTCCCAGGGGTAGTTAACAGTGGACACTGGCAATCAAAAGGCAGAAAACAGTGGTCACACAGGGGCGGGACTGTTGACAGTCTAGATGCTGGATGTCGGGGAAGTTTGACTCGATGAGACTGAAATCAGTCAGCACACTAACAGCTTTTATTGACTGATGTCACGCCAATCGATAGTTTACATTCAAGTGGGGAGACAGAAGTAGGGAAGGAATGAAACGTTTCAGGATTTTCAAGATGTTTTATTTTATTTTAATAAATAATTATATATTTTTTGATAAAGTGAAGTAAAAATCTACGTACACGAGTGCTTTATTAATTCCATAAAATGTTTTCCAATGATGTATCACCACGATGTAAGTTAATTGGAAGTATAGCTGTTTGCCTTCTCTTTCTCTGTTAGAATTCACTTCCAAAAATCTGAGGGGCTCATCATTACACACAGCGCTTACAAAAGCCCTGAATTAAGCTTTTCACTTTTGTCCAAGTGCTTGCTCATTGTCTAATTCAAGGCTGGTATGCTGATTTGGGAAGATGATATTTGTACCTGACTTTATAAACATGCAAATTTTATACATCAGATTTCAAATCAACATATACAACATTTGATGTCATAACTAACTTCCATTTGATCAGCTAATCAAAACATGGCGCACACGAACTGGAGCTCAGTGCCCGTGGACTTTTAATGGGGAACAGCACATCCTGGGGAGAGACTGACTTTTCTGTCTCACGTGATTTTTTTCTCAGTAGAAGTATCTGAATGTGCTGATGCCATCAACTTCTGTTTTCAGTGCTTAATGACGTTTGCTCTTCAAACTTACTTGAATATTCTCTTAAGCTATTTCATCAACCTTTTCTATCATTTTCCTTAAAATGTGGGCTTTCCTCAAATTTGATAGCTTTTTAAAAAATTACACAAGTAAGTTTTTCTTGACCTCCGAATAGCATAATCAATTTTGAAATGTGATGCTGGTTCTTATTTTCTTTTACTAGAGTAATGACCAGTGATTGATGTTTTGGTGGTAAAATAAAGAATAGATTTTTCCTTGTTTTGGAACTTGTATATTTCAGTGATGACAATAAATTCTGTCAGATTCCCCCCACCCCTGAAAATAAATTTTTTCAATTATTTGAATGCGCAATGTACGTGATTTGAAGTGTTTCAGGTTTGTCCAAGGCCAGGTGGTGAGCTGGTCCCTGCGCTCTGTCCACTGCTCATCTTTGCTCATTGTTCATTGCTGTGCTCAGGCTCATGGCAAAGATGCCCTCAGCCACGAAACCGTGAAAGATGACAGGATTAAAAGAGGAGACTTGAATTACCTATAGACCGCTCATTCGTTTAGTCAGTATCTCCTATGCCCTTCCTAAGAACTAAAGTCAATATAATGAAATATAATGTGAAAACTGCCAGAGATGTGTTTTTATAAATGACCTTAGCCAAGAAATCTGAAGTCTTTTGTGGATATAGAATTATCCTGAATAATTCTGTTAATGAGCTTGTTTGTTACACAACAGATTCCTTTAACTGAATTATATTACTCACCTAAGTTCTGAATTATATTACTCACCTAAGTTCTACAGGTAATGAAAATAAACCTAGGTGGCTGGTGTCAGGCATTCAGTATCTCATTTTCTACCGTGGCCTCTGGTTCTGCTGCCCTGGGCTAAGTTACTCAGAAAAGCCCTCTCCATACAGCTTTAACTCCTCAGAGGGATGCCTAATAAACTCAACCTGCTTTGGACTTCTGCCTCTTACTAAGGTTGTCTTCCAGAAGGTTCTTGTGCCTGCCAGTTATGATGGTCTAGTTTGATGGTTCATATTTGCGAATGTTTTTAGCCTTTTTTTATTAGTCACATATATGGACACAAAATACAGAAAGGACCAGAAAATACAGGGTGTACATTATGGGAAGGAGAACACCCAGTCACATCTAATGTCACATCTAACCCAAGCAGCCACAGGCAGTCTTGAGCAATCCTGGCCCCCAGCAGCTCCCGCCCTAACCCCACCTGCTTGGTGGGTGGTCTCCGTGGTAGCTGGGGGGAGCATGTCAGGCCTGTGTTTGGACAGTCGGAGACAAAATCGGCTCTGCGCCCTCGAGGACCAGCGTGGCGGCTCCCCACCGTGAGCACAAGCCCTTCACAGTGTGTCTCCTGAAGGAGCTGGGCCTGGGTCAGTGGCTCCAGAGACCGTCCTCACACCTTTGTTCCACCCTACGCTAGTGATGGAGCCACTGAGGAGGCCTTGGACGGTTGTTTATAGTCTAGCATGTGGTGCAAGGAAACATTCCCCTGAATCACGTGTGAGTTCCTTGTTCATTGCCACGGAGCAAGCCCATCGTCTGTAGAGCGGCTGACGGAGAACAGTGTCCAGGCTGCGGACTGTGTGGCTTCCAGTGTCCAACGCATCGCCACCTGACCGCATCTCAGGCTTATTTTATCCAGTCAACTTACCGCGGGACACTGAACTCGGCGACTCCCAGAGCCCCAAGTCAGAAACCTCAGCACTTGAAGGACAAATCAGATGTCAGTCCCGTGGGTGAGCTGCGCAGGGACAGTTGGGCAGGTGACCCCGGCCCAGCGCCGACCCGAAGCGTGGCAGGACGCAGGACGCACTGGGGGTAGCTGCCCGGCGGGGAGAACCCCAATACCGTTTGACGTTCAGTTCACACTACACATCTGCTCTCTGAAGCTTGACTTTCTTCACCTGATCAATGGGGAGAGCTGTTGCCAGGAGAGCTGGAGGACACCGAGGGGTTCAAGGACAGCGAGGAGCCGGGGCACAGACGTGCGGGCCGCGGGTTCCCTTGTTCCCGGCGCCTCCAGCGCGGGGCCTCTCCCCGAGGTCGCGCTTGGTGGGGCTACAGACAGGTCTTGCTCCCAAGCCTGTGGCTTCCGTCGCTGCGCGAACCTCCTCCCGGAGATGCTGTGGGTGCCGGCCGCGCCGGAGCGTGTGACCGCAGCCCGGGTGGGAGGAAAGCGAGGGCTGGCGAGCCCGGGAAGCGTGCGCGGCGGACTCCTGCGGCCGGGGCGCGCCCGTTGGCATAAACTATGCGTCTGCGCCCCTGCCAGGGCGTGCTGTTAGTGACCCGAGAACGCTGCTTCTGGTTTGGAAAGAAGTAAAGGCGAGCATTCGGACCCATTAGATTCAAAATAACCCTCTAGGGCAGAGTCAGCACAGGTCTGTATGCGGCGCACGATTACGGGAAATTGCACTGGAATAAATCTTTCCATTGATCTGGGCTGAACGCAGAGTCCTGGCCCGAAGCCGCGCGCGGCCGCCGTGCGTCTGGGCTGCGTCTCTCCTGCGCCCTTGGCCCCACGTCCAGGTTCCCGCGGCCTAGCTGGTGGCATAAGCTCGCGGCTGTTGCTGGCTGAGAGTATAGCGAGAAGGACGGGATCTGGCTACGGCATCATTCAAAATCGGGGCTACATGGAGGACGCATTCCCGTTTGCAGAGCCGGCCACTGCGTGCGAGCCGGCCACTGTTGGCTGCGTGGCCAACAGTGTCCACACCACTGTCCACACTTTTTCTGGCCACACTTTTTAAAAAACATAAAGTGCATATTTTTGTTTACATAGGTTGCCATAAGTAGAGAAAATAATGCTATTTT